AACCACTTCTTTTTTCATCGCATCGCAACTTTGTCGCGAATGACTTCTCCCTCAGATCCACTAACCCATCACCAATAGCTACGACATCGGTCCCTCCATCCTGAAGCGCCCCTTGCCCGAGTCCTCTGATGATGAGCAAGATGAACACCGAGCCAAGCGTCAAAAGTCGACCGATCTAACCACCATCTCCGACAAGGCTGCCGCGAATGCTTACGAGGATCTAGACCAAGTGGCTAATGACCTGGTCTCTGCTCTCCAAGTCGCTCTCAAGGAAATCAAGACAAAGCCGGCCGATGATGAAAAGCAAGCGACCAACGAGGAATTGAGAGCGCAAATCTCGGACTTCAAGGAAAAGGCCATGCAACTTCTTCGACGAGAAAAGGCCTACCCGAAAACTTCGGCTGACCCTCTTGCAATTGAGGCAAAACTCCCACCATCTCCTCAGAAGGGAGAGTTGGTCCTGTCCCTCGTTGCATACGCACCTCAGGAGAGAAGGCTGTTCTCCAGTCTCCCAATTTCCGATGAAGCCAAACTGCGTGATGTGCCCTTGCCCCAGGGAATGTCATTAACTCATGTTATGCCGACAACACCTCATGAGCGAACGCAGACTCTTGGGGATTTGTTTTCGTCGCCAAAGAACCTGCCACCTCTGCAGCCACCTAAGCAGCCTAAGACGCAAGCTAAAGGCAACGTGCTGGACTTTTATCGACCAGAACTGACAGACACCTCCAAGTTTCGAAATGCGTCTTACTTCACAACCAAATTGACTGCTGGATGTTACCTCGACTACAGTAACGCGACTCCTTCATCACAAACCATCACCAAGCAACGAGAACGCGCGCAAAGTCTAGCAGGAAAGCGACCCTCAACTACTGAACTCGAACTGCACGAGATGGAATCGCTTTTTCGAGGCGCCTTTTCTAGCTTCGCACCGTGCAAGGATGATTCAGGGGCTGTTGTGCCGTCAAGTGTTGCGGGTCGAATGTGGTGGCAGCAATCGGGCCACCGATCTTTCCAGAATATGATCGAGGTCGAATATTATGGTGGTGCTGACGGTGACGAAAAGGCCGAGAAGGATGAGTCTATGGACATCGACGAGAAGGCTATCCAGGAAGCGATTGATAATTGGGATGAATCTGTTGTTGATCCGTCACTCGAAGAGGCTCTGGGCACAAAACGAGCGGATGAGGAGAAGGAAGTCGATGAGATTTTGGAAGAAGTCAGCGACATGATTGAGACGCTGTCTTCTTACCAACGCATCCGAAACCTCAACCTCCCCAACTCGCAAAACCGCTCGTCAAGCGACCCAGTCAATGGCGATATGCTGGCTACCCCCGGACCTACTCCTTCAGAAGGCGAGCAAGCAACATATGAGGTGCTCAAGGCGCAGCTTGCTCTGATCATCAAGACACTACCGCCATATGCAGTCGCCAAGCTGAACGGAGACCAATTGGAGGATCTTCTCATCAGTACCAAGGTTCAAGTCCAAACTGACAAGTACAAAGGAGTTATGGAGGAGGACGAAGCGGGCGTTCAGGCTCGGTTGAGAGCTCAGCAACAAGCTGCTCAGGCTAATGCCCGGCCGCCGCCTCAACGTACACCAAGTGTATCGGGAGTTTCTTATGGGCATCATACTCCCCAGACCCAGTACGCAACCCCTCAACGAACCCCCTCTATGCAACAACAACAATACTACCGACCTGGGCCTACGCCCGGCTTCACACCTGCACCACGACCTATGCCCGCTCAACCCAGACCTCCTCAACCTAATCAGTATTCTCGACCCAACGGTTATCCTGCTCAATATGCCACACAGGTTGCTAAAGCTCAAACTCCATATGGCCACCAAAACATGCCTCAGTATGCTTCTCAACCAAGACCTCAGTTTGGACAGATGCAGGCTCAGCAAGGAACTCCTAGTGCGCGGTTCGCTTTCCAACCAGGCTATCCACAGCAACAAGCCGCTACGCCCTCACAGCCCAACTTTGGGGCCTACACTAACGGTCAAGCTGTGCCGCAGCGCACGATGTCTCCTCAGGTTAATAGACAGGCCTACAGTGCCTCGCCTAATGTGCAGCAGCCTCCGCGATATGGTACGCCGAACCAGGCTGTGGGCAATCAAATGAACAGGTACCCGAGCAACCCCCCTCAACAAGCAACGCCTGCTCAGAACCCTGGACTTACAGGATATCACACCGTTATCCCTGAAGCGCAACAGCAGCGGATTCTCGAACAAGCCAAAGCCAGGGTTGCGGCTCAAGAGCGGTCTACTATGTTCGCTGACAAGATCACTCAGCCTGGTACTCCTGGTTTTGGCCAAGGAGGGACTATGGACCCCAGCCGACTTGTAGCTGCGCGAGCAAGTATTGCCTCTCAGCAAAAGCCTCCGACTCCCAATTCTCAGCGATCGAGTATGAGCGGGACACCAGGGCCACCGCCTCCCCACAAGGTGACTCCTGTTCCTGTCCCGCCGATCCCAGGCATGCAGCAGAAGCCATTGTAATAATCGACACCATGTGTATCTTTTGGAAACGAGAGACGCGAAGCGGAAGAGTCAGATATGATATCGTCAATGCAGACTTAGGGCACCAGAGGAGCGAGAAAGGGGAGGCGTTTAGAGGGTGGATTCTCGATTGTTTTTATTAGCTACGTTTTTCTGAGGAGTTGGTTTTTTGACTCAACCAGGGGAAAAAGGGACGAGAGACATATTTTCTTTCTTATTACAGGGAAGAACGAGGAATTGGTGGACGTTTCCATCGAGTTGTTGACCTGGGAGTGGAAACTCCTGGTTGTGTAATCCAAGACGCCGAATTGGCGCGTGTATGCAGATGAAGAAAAGGTACACTATTGCATTGATATTAATATGTTTACGCTATGGACTTTCTTTTGTGCCAGTGAGACATGTCAAGGGTCCTGGGTTGAGTGTGTATTTATGTGAATGTCATCTACGGTATGGAGAGAGTTGGTAAGCAGAGGGGTAAAATAAACCTATTGAGTTGATTGTCAATTCTATTGAGCTGAGGGGTATCTATCAAGCCAGTCCTAGAGGCATATCGTATCCTCAACCTATTCCCAAACAAAATATGTTGTACATGGGTTTTTTTTCATTCAGTCGTAGAAAAAGTTCTAGAGATCTACATCCACGCTAGTGATCTATGCCGGTGGTGTCACCACAGGCTGTGGCAGTTCAGCCGCAAGCTTCCTTTCTTCCCGTTCCTGGAGCATCTCAAGCACAATGCGACGTAACTCAAAGATTACCTCAACGGCAATAAGCACGATGATGATCCACTCCAGGCGAGTGCCGTGTTGCTCACTGGACATCTCACGCAGAACACTGGCGATTTCAGCGGCGTAGTCCATCTTTTGGTTCAATGCGCGGATTCGTACGTTTACATCGAGTGCACGGCCAACTTGTTCGTAGTAACCCTCAAGACCAAGATCGGAGCTGGTGTCCCAGAAAATGTCTGGCAATGAGTCGGTGAGTTCAGAGTAATGGTTGAGACGAGCACGCAGGCTGAGGAGTTCGCCTGTTTTTTGTAGGATGAACTTTCGACCAAGAGGTATACCGGCACCTTGTGAGAGCAGTGCGGGGATGTTGCGTGTGCTTTCAAAGTACGACGTCAAGGCCGTTTCGAGAACAGCAAGCTTTGTGCTTCGAGCTAGACCCGACGAGAAAGCAACCTTTGCTAGAGTAGTGTCTAGCTTATCAGCTTCCTTGTGCTCCTTGCGAGTACCAAGAACAATAACATCACCCTTAAGCACACTTGTTTCTCGGTTTGTATCAGTTGTGAATTCGAGATCCTCAAACTCCCGACTTTCAATGGTGTGCGCTTCTTCAGCAGCACGCATGATCTGCCTTGTGACGACATCTGGAGGCAGCGACCATGTTACGATTGTGCCGGACGGAAAGACAAAGATGTCTCCACCATTTACACCTCTTGCATGGACCACCTCGTTTGCATCGAATCCCGTGCCATCCGGGTCGATATCGAAACCATGAGATGAGAGAATCTCGAGAACCATAGGCATCTTGAAGGATTCTGCAACGCAGGTGGCGCTGACCACATTGGAGGGTTCATCGCTGGGACTTCCTGGCGCTGTTGCGCCTCGTTTGGGCTGCTGGGCAATGATGGCAACTCGACGTAATGAATTCTTGGCCGTATTCGATCGAGTGGGCTTCCTCTTTGAGGACGCAAGGCCTTTCTCTTCTTTGGAGAGTTCGGACACGGAACGGGAACCGTCGTCGACTTGAGACAGGTAGGGATTCGAGGTGAAGAAGCTTCGCTTTCGAGGGAAGCTAGCCAAGGAGGTGAGATGGAATTGTCGATAAGGCCTCAGCCGTGGCCCGGCGACTGAAGTGTGAAAGAGGCGGGCGACATTGAGGGTGATTCGCTGGGAGGAATTCCTCATGATGTGACAACAATTATGCCATCAAATGTGAATTTATGGTGGGTTGACTCAATCAAAGTATTGAGAATGAACCAATGTCGAATCAAAAGAAGTTCTAGTTACTAACAATGGCAGACATTGACATCGGAAGCAGGCCCGATGATAAGATAAGATTAGATAGGATACCTGATCAAGTCATCGAATTATCTGCAGGTGAGAGACCACGTGATGCCCCTCAACGGAATGTGGGTATGCTAGACCGCTTCGGGAGGCATCTTGGAGTAGACTTGGATACCCATGACGAAGTCCCACTAGCCACCGTAGCTTAGGGAGAGGGAGATCCATCTCTAGAGGAGACCAGACAAGCCCAGAAACGGTTAATTACGCTACGGTACGCTTCTCATCTCAACGCCGACAGGACAGGACAGGACGACTTTAAATTCAGAGGAGGCCCCCTTGACCTGAACTCTTCATCAACCTCTTGGCGTCATTCTTGCCCTATTTTAATACATACCCTCCGCTGTCCTCTGACTTATCACCGCGGACTCCTTTTCTTCCTCTTCTTTTTCCTCCCCTCTTTCTCTAACCCCCACCATACAACATCTATCACCATGGATCTGAACCCCAAGTACGACAACTATGATTTCCCCATCAAGGGCCCTGAGAAGCAGGATGGCCACGCCGGGTACCTCACAGAGGACCAAATCGCCAAGCTTCACCAGTTCCGCATGATGCTCGAGTCCGAAGGTTGCACTGATCGATTGGACACCTTGACTCTGGTACGAGATATACCTTAAACCTAGCTACTTAAGCTTGCTGCTGCACCCTGGACAAAAAGGGCCATGTAACGCGACACAGCAAATACTGACAACGTCTTTGTCTACAGCTTCGATTCCTCCGAGCGCGCAAGTTCGATGTCGAGGCCGCCAAAGCCATGTAAGATTTTTATACCCTTCCTTTCCACCTGATGGCGGTGGAACGAGAAAATGTGCTGGTAGCGACAGGGGGGCTGACCGCCACTATAGGTTCTTGGATACTGAGAAATGGCGAAAGGAGGTTAAGCTTGACGAGACTGTGCCTATCTGGGACTATCCCGAGAAGGCTGAGATCGGAAAGTACTACACTCAGTTCTACCACAAGACCGACAAGGTATGGCAAGCCGGTGACGACGAGGGATAGCCATCATGAGAACATTTGTTGACTAATGTTTTTTTCCTCATACAGGATGGACGACCCATCTACATCGAGACTCTTGGTGGTATTGATCTGACCGCCATGTACAAGATCACCAGCGCTGATCGCATGCTCTTGAACCTCGCTGTCGAGTACGAGCGCGTCGCAGACCCCCGTCTTCCTGCCTGCTCCCGCAAGGCCGGCCACCTCCTCGAGACATGCTGCACCATCATGGATCTCAAGGGCGTTAGCATCACCAAGGTCCCCCAGGTCTACTCCTACGTCCGACAGGCCTCTGTCATCTCCCAGAACTACTACCCCGAGCGCCTCGGCAAGCTGTACATGATCAACGCCCCCTGGGGTTTCTCCACCGTCTGGAGTGTTGTCAAGGGCTGGCTCGACCCCGTCACCGTCTCCAAGATCAACATTCTCGGTTCTGGATACAAGAGTGAGCTCCTCAAGCAGATCCCCGCCGAGAACCTTCCCAAGCAGTTCGGTGGCGAGTGTGTGTGCCAAGCTGGCTGTGAGAACAGCGATGCTGGTCCTTGGCACGACCCTGAGTGGGCTCGTCCCGCTTGGTGGGAGAAGAAGCAGGATGCCAACGTCATCGAGAACAAGGGATCTGAGATTGAGGAGCCCGCAAAGGCTCCTGAGGCTGCTCCCGCTGCTGAGGGTGCTGATGCTACCCAGACTGCCCCTGCTCCCGCCCCCGCTGCCGCTTAAAGAAGAGTATATGTACCAAGGTGAAGGATATGGAAGAAAGATAGACGTGCGGGTTTGCTACGTCTTAATATAGACCACATATTTTCTCTCGTTTACCATGCTTTTTTTCAACAAATGGGGTTTGAGAGGATATCTGAGCGAAGATATATATATGGTAAAAACACGTTGGGGGAGTGTATAGCGAAGCGTGACGCGTAGGGAGCACAAAAAGAATTTCTTCCAAACCACTTCTTGTTCTGCTCGATGCATAAACATGCTCATGTGGACGTTTTATTTCGTGTCTGCCTAGACTTATGTTAGATGCTGGCTGAGGTTCCTGACTATGGCTGCAATAGTTCTCAACAATAGACGCGGTCTCGAGATTTGTGTTGTAAAGTGTGAAGTGATATTGCCGATTAATTCAATCCAATCCAATGCGCCCCAACTCCCTGTTCGTAATACACTGATCGCCGCCCTGGGTATATATGCAATAAAGACAAGGGATGTCTTTTATCGTCCCTGCGTAACGACATACTCGCCCGCCACGCGTGCTCTCTCCATCTTGGCCACCACCGCAGGCATATCGCGCTTCAATCTCCCCAGACCCTCAACAGCTCTTCGAAATCCTTTCTCCACGCCATCTTGTCTCTCCAGTGGTTGGACGTCCAGATCCACTTCAGCGGCCTCTGCTATAATCTGCTGTTTTCGAGCTTCGAGCATATCGTCGTCGCGCTTTAGACTATCGCGTAATTGCTCTGCTTGCGCCTCGGCCGTCGTAGCGGGCACCGAGCGTTTCAACGCTGCAACATCCTCGAGAAGCTTTTCTTCTTGTGTGATTAAATCTGCGACACGCCGACGTTTGCGCGTATCGAAAGGCTCGTAAACGGTATCGGGCTCGACGTTTGATTCGGAAAGGAAAGAGTCTGGGGATACGGGGAGGCCGTTTATCGAGAGATTTGGAGAGGCGAGAGAGAATGTCTTGTCGATGTACTGGTTGTTTGTTTGTTAGGCTTGTGTCATGAAAGTATATCGAACAAGAGATAGTACCTCGTTGACGAGCTTTTCTATCTCATCTCGATATTCATCCCCTCCATCATTACGCACTGCCACGGGAAATGCTTGGTTGAGATGTTCTGCGGCTGCGCGACGGACATTGGCGATTAGATACGAGAGATCCTCGGGTGTTTGCAGCTCGATCTTGCGCTGGACTTGGGCGACGACAGATTCAGAGTCCATGACTATTACTCTCCAAGGGGAGAAGAAAAAGCAAAGTAAGGAATAGCTGGAAGAGAGGGGGTAGTTAGTAGAGGAAGGGTTGTGCTATCAAGGTGCTTGACGGTGAGTGCCTGCCCCGCGGCCGTGTTTAGTCAATTGTTTACTTTGAAACGAGCGCCGACTCGGAAACGGAGACGAGGCTTATCTTATCGCTTAATATGTCACCTCCAACCAAGCAGACCAGGAATTTGTAAATACGTTGGTGATTTATTGTGAGCTGAACTTGCAAATTACGCCGATATTTTCATTCAAAATAACGTCATTATTCCATCAATCGTTCTTATATGTCGTTCCAAGCTTGTTCGCTCACATTGTACTCTGAAATGAGAGTTCTTCTGTTGACTCCCTCTTGCTCCCGCTTACAGTAAAGCAAGATTTTGTCCATGGGAGCACCTGAAAGCTCGGCCTCAACCTCACTCATTCTGCGCGACTCTGGTAATAATGGTACTTGATAATCCAGATCGCGCATTGGGGTGTTCAGCTGAAAGTCATCTCCCAGGTCAACACCGCTGTAAAAGTCCCCTTCTTCCAACTCGACCACCTTTTTGGCGACACATGCTGCGATATGCGCATCCCAGATGCCTTCCCGATGAGGGCTTGTTCTGAGGAGTTTGATTGCTTCAGCTCGGATGCGATGGACGCGACATTTGACTGCTATGAAGTAAAGTGGCGGTATCCAGCCCATGTCGATGATGGACCTGGGCATACAAGTTGTCATGATGTACAGCGGCATCTCGTCTTCCAGTTGATAATGAAGCGACAGTTCCCATAACTTTGTAAGCTCTTTGAGGAGCAGGATGAACTTGTCGGTGTAGGTGTCGTATATGGTCTCGTTATTGCATATGCAAGTCTCAGCCATAACGTTCGTCATGGCGTAGTGTATCCTCAGAATCTGGTATGCCTTTTGCAAGTATATGTTTGAGCCACCTGGTCGCGCTCTCATGAAATCTTGAAACATGCCATGCCATTGTGCGAGTCTTGTCTTGACGAGTTGCTGGGCTGTATGGTCTGTTGCTGTTATTGTCTGTTGGCGAGCTCGGTGAGTAAGATGGAATATCTGGTTGTAAACAAGCTCTAGCCCTTTCCAAGCATCGTTGAGATTAGCGAAAGATTCAAGAAAGCTCTTCTCGGGGTTGTGAGCCGGCTGTAGGATAACGCATGAATGGTGGTACAACAGTCTGAAAAGCTCAACCTGGATATGGAGCCTGGACAGGGCCTCGACTATCCAAGCATCGGTCGACTCGTGACAGGGTTTCAGTGCCAAGATGCCCGAATTAGCCTCGGGAAGACCCTGCATTTGCCAAAGAATGTCAAGCCCGTTCTTCAGGTGAAGCTGTGCCGTAGCGAAGTGGCCCCGGAAGAACTCCAAGCAGACAAAGACAACACAAGTGATGAGCGCCACACGACACGATTCCTTATCTTTGGCGTTGAAGTGTGGCTGCAGATGTGCAATGGCCTTGACGTACTGCTGCAGCGTAAACTGCTCCTGTTGGTTCATCTGCGAGGTGGGCGAGTTCCTATGTATGTCCAATGTCACAACACCCTTCTTATGCGCCGAGCTGAGTGCAAGCAGGGCATGTAGCACGGCGGGTTCTCTAGACCCAGCCTGGAAGACGAGGGTGTTCCAGAAGCCAGAAGAGAAAGTGGCGGAGATCTTTGTAGACGTGCGACACTTGAACCAGTCAAAGTAGAGCTTCTCGTTTGCGTTTAGAGAGAGGACGAGGGTTGTGTCTAGAGGAGGGCCAAGGGTGAACTTGGGCCGGGACTGGGACTGGGAATATTGCGTAAGAGCGAGTGATCCTCCGCCCCAGATTCCGTATCCGTCGCATGCTCGACCAGTTGATAGACATCTCTGACAGGCTGGACGGCCTTCGTCACATTTGACTTTTCTCAATCTAAGTCATTAATCTGTGTTCTCTTCTCTTCTCTTCTCTTCTCTTCTCTTCTCTTCTCTTCTCTTCTCTTCTCTCCTCTTGTCAAGTACTCACTTGCATGTCTTACAGCCCGATTTGACCTTGGATTTTCCCTTCCGAGCCATTCTACCAAACAATCTAGCAGGGAAAGAAACGGAGTTGATTTGTCTGCTCGGAAACCTTTGGATCTGCTTGATTATATCAATTTAAGCGGAGATGGCATTTTGGGCGTCGTCCAACGTACGTGCCCCTGGAGCTTATAAGTCGGGAATATTCTTGCCAGGCCCGCGGGTTGGGGGCGCTAATACAGGGACTACGTACTGAGCGTGCCCTGCCACCCCGCGGACTACTCCGCTGACTACTATAGGTAGATCGTCATCCGTATCTGCACTTCCTATTGGTTTGCTCGGAAACTGCGAGGTCTGATTGGTTCAGATAACAAGTGTCAGAACCTTGGGTGTAGTGTAGGAGTGCCAAGATAGTACTTATACCTAAGTTTGCCCGCTTCGGAAACATTTCAGAGTCTGTGTATGATGTAGTTGAGCCCGATATAAGACCTGAGAGACTATCACTACTTCATATGTTCATTGTCGAGTCCAATCTCTGTGAAGATGTATGATAACATCGTGAAAATGGGTCCTACGATAGCCGATCTTGCAGTCAACAACTATGAATTTAATTTCATGCCGGATAACCAGTCCAACAGAATAAACAAATCCAATCTTGAGGCTACTCAAATCCTTATCATCACGTCAGCTAAGAACAGCGCATCGGGCCCTCTCGTCTCTCGCGCGGGCGCGGGCACCGTGGGCTTAAGTCGTCCAACATATGCAGCTATCCCCAGTCAAGATGAATTATTTTCGTTCCTTGACCACTCATATGAGGCAGATGTAACGTTTTGGGATAGTGCTGAGTAAGTTCAGAACTCTGACGGCATCCAAATACCAGCTAACCACATGTAAGCTGCTATAACGATTACGACGAAATTATAGGCGAGTGGTTCGAGCGAACTGACAAACGAAGTGATGTCTTTCTTGCAACCATGCTTGAATATGATATTTGCATCAAGAAAATATGGTCTAAGAGTGAACGGCCCTTGCATATTGAGTCTATCCATCTCTATAAGTATAGAGATATCAGCAGAAATTCCAACTATAACTGCTATAGACCAACTTTAGGACCTATTTATATCGAAGAAGAATAACTCACAGGGCCATAACTATATATCAAACACCAAAAGGCCCGATATATCGACTCAGCCTCCTCTTCACTCCGACCATCCCCTTCTCGTCAATAACATCATGTGCCTTCAGAATATCCAAAATCCCATATATGAAATCCTTACCATCGTTACGCATCTCAACCTCTGCCAAGCTCCAGAACGGCGAGATACAGGTCATGTTCACAAGACTCTCCAACCACTCTGCGTTTACTATACAAAGTTTCCCCGAGGCGACATGGGACGGAAGCATACGTGGGTTATTTGGATGCCGATATATCCTGCAAAAGTTGCCGCGGGGAGCTCGAATGACTTCGAAGTTTTGCCAGAGACGAGTAACTGTATCGTAAGCGGAGAGTGTCCATTGAAAGTCTCGGTCTAGATCGGGGGTCGAGATTGTGATGAATACTTGGATGGTACGCGGCGAGCACGAGGCTGGACGGCTACTGTAAAGACGATATTCGCGAGACATAGTGACTAGCAGATTGGTGTGTGTAGAGTTGAGGGACTCCAGGCCTGAGAGAATCGCTCCATCTTATAGGTTGAGGTTCGTTGTGACCAAAGGACAAATGGATAACAAAGTTCCTTGATTAGAAGACTTTAATTGTAAACTCCACGATTCAATGCAGCATCACTGGTGAAATCAACAGCCCGTATAATCTGAGTAAGAGGATACATTGAGGTCAAACAGAATCTGAATCAGGCTTCCCTTTAGTCTGTTTGTCACAAGTTAGATGATTTCCATCACCCTGACAAGTTACTCAGTGAACGTCTCATGCTCCCTACAAACAGCAACGCCCTTTCAGACTCAATGATAAGTACCTGCACCAACGAGGCTATTCAACAATCCTGTAATATACTCATAGCTGCACCAAACGTCTCGAGAACTCAAACCTGGATCCGGATTGGCAATTCTGCATCGCTAAAAGACTTTGGGGACTTGATAGTAGTGCTGAACCAAACATACTCATCACAGATCAAACGCCAGAATCGTCCTGGAATACATCAACAGGGTTCCAATGATTCTTCCGGTCGTCATACCAATCTTTCCACTTCTTACAGCCATCATTGACCTGCTTCAACTTCTCCGGAGTCATCATCTTCCTCAGATCCTCTTCACGCTCCATGATCTGCAGCGCCAAACCACTTGAAGCGTGCCAGGCAATATGGCAGTGGAACAGCCAAGAGCCAGGGTTATCAGCCTTGAAGGCAACTATAAGGTAACCTCCGGCCGGTATCAGTGCAACGTCACGTCGGGGTGGATTGTCGAATTTGAGAGTGACGGGGTTGTTTGGATCATTTTATCTGCGGAGAGTTTGTGCCTTGGGCGAGCAAGGCAAAGTCGTGCCCATGTAGATGTAGCTTGTTAATATCAGTATAATTACAGTTCTATCAGCACAGTATGAGAATTGGACTGGACTTACCGGGTGCGCAAGAGACTTGAAAGTCTTGTTGGTGCCAATTCGATCAAGCGATGGAGCCGTGATGACGAGATAGACCCAACCATCTCTGTTCTCTGCTGGAACAATCACATAATCGTCGGGCCATTCTTTCGTTTCCTCTAGTAGGGTGATAGTTGGCTTCGGGAAGTCGAGCCAAAGAGGTCGCTCGCCGAAAGCCCACCAGCTGAATTTGTCTCCAGTGTGTGGTCTATCCTTTACTTTCTCTATACCAAGCTCAAGATCTTTACTCCTGTCTCCTATACCTTGTTAGCAAAGGATTACCATGTGATTTGAGTTGGCGCTGACTGACTCTCGTCAAGTTTTATATGAGGTATTGACCATGGAAGGACGGGCTGTAAATTCTCATACTTCTCGTCGGTGCAGTCTTTGGTCCAGTTGTCTCTCCAAGTCTGAGGTACCTCCGTAAGCATTGAACGAGACATGTAGGTCGATCTGACTCACCAATTCCGTTCATCAATATGCTATTCATCTCAGGGCGAGTAGGGACACCCGTTAGTTCTCTCTCCCACTCCTGGAAAGCACTTCGATGGTTCCAACCTGTGATAAGAATAGGATCCTTCGCTTCATCATAGTGAGCTGATGACGGTCCAAAGATAGTTATAGGTCCTGCGAGACCGTCTGCATATTGTAGAGAGTAGTGACTGTGATACCAGGAGGAGCCATACTGAAGGGCGCGAAACTCATATGTAAAAGTATCGTTGGGGGCAATGGGGCATTGAGTGACGCCGTTGACGCCATCCATCTCCATGGTTCCGTTCTGCCTGATACCATGCCAATGAACCGTGGTGCCGTTATATCGCAGCTTATTTGTGACGTGGACTCTGATAAGATCACCCCAACAAGCTTTGATCCACGGGCCGGGGTAGGTTTGGTTGAAAACCTTTCCATACGGATTGTCGATGCCGTCGCCGTTGATAGTCTTGTTATCAACTACAAGCCAATACTGTAGACATGGGTCAGTGAAATGTCTCAACTTTGAGCAATAAAAGTGATTGTTACCTCTCGAAGCACTCCAGGTGGATACATAGTCTCATAGTCAGTATGAATACTGAAATTGTGTCCATCAGAGCTCTTCAGCCAGCAGTGACGGTTCTCTCGAGTAGAACATGACTTCCAGTCATTTCCAAGCTCAGGATACTTGCAAACGAAGTCTTCATCTGGCGAATCAGGGCCATTTGGTGCTGGGAACTTTGGATAATTCTGAGAGATCTGGCCATTCTCAAAAGATAGAACGGGTTGTTCAGAGCCACCTCTGATATCCTCGTGGAATGGAAGTGAGAAGAAGGTGACTGTGTAGACTATGAACGTCTTGCACGCGTTGTAGAAACCCATGTTGGGCAAATGTCGACTGATGCCCCAGTGAAGGTTGGGAATATGAAATCTACAACCTACTCTGGACTCTGAACTCTGGAGCTCGAATGAGATGGTGAATGAGAGAGGACAAAAGATTCTCAGAAGGAGGGCACCCTCCATAGCAACTTTCAGAATTGAGTTTCTTGTTTCTTACGGTCGTTTTCTTCTGAGCTTCGAGTATGTGACAAGCCATTTCACAACTTACACAATACAAAATCATCCGTTTGTAGTCCCATCACATCTCTTTTACTCACCCTGATCGAATCCCGTGGCCATATTCCAGCCATGACTCGAGCCTAGTTCTGTTTCAGCTGTTGAAGCTGTCCAGATCTGGTCATCAGCCGTACTCTAGCTTGAGCCACTGCTGCTTTCCCCTCATGCATTGGAATGTCATACGAGAGCGTTACCATAGAGAAACAGAAGATATCTCCGCTTCTGTAGAAAAAACTTCAAAGCTAGACTAGTTTGAGTTTGTCGTCCCGTCCCGTTCCGTTCCGTACAAGTTAGTGAGATGTCGTTGAGGTGATGCATTCCTTCGTTCGTCCTTTAGCCAGCCTCAATCGCCAAATTCATGAGAAGGAGCACGTAAGCCAGACAACATGGGATCTAGAATCTGAATTGTCTTCTGTTGCTCTACAGTTTTGGTGGTCAGCTAGTCTCTGTTTGTTTTGACGGTTGAACGAACAAACAGTCTGGCAACGTGCTATCCCCGTGGCTGATTTGTCAGAGAAGACTCTCAACTCGTCTGACTCTGGTGCCCTTCAACGTTGTCATAGTAAGTGCATTTCTTCGCCTCTAAAACACCGTCAATGTTGAGAATTCGCCACGTCATGAGTGAGTATTGGTCACTACCTCGAATGCTAGAGGTGATTTCAGGCACAAGGTCGGCACGGAAGAGTGACACCGCCTGAAGAAGTGTCTGTTCCAGCTGCTAAAATCAAATATTTGTAGTTCATGTCTCGATACAGTCATTGACCTTCCATTCACACATAATATTACCAGGAGCATTGTGAACTTGGAGACCTCGGAAATTCATAGCCACTGGTGCCATTCCATCCATTAGAGTTCTTTCATCTGATGATCTTCAAGGCTGTCGGTGCAATACATAAAGCACTTCTCGATACATGGCTAACAGACGGACGAGACTAAGTGATTTATCACGTGCTGATATGGGCAAATTGTAGGTGATGACCAGCGTGATGTAGTCAGCATGCTCACATCACAATTACACAGTGGTCATAAAAATTCGTCAAGTCATGAATTCGGATTGATAGAGCTATCTTTGAGCCTCTCTTCCTTTCATATGATTCGTAGGCGCACATTTCCCGTGTCATCCCATTCAACTGCACACCCAACTCCGTCCATCTCGTTCTGTCCCAGAGACTACCTATACATTCTTATTGAAACAACAACCAGCGGACCTCAACACCCCGCTAACCATTTCTCAAAACTTTTGTAACATGGGCCCCAAGCGCTGGGGCATATATGAAATTGAAGTCCTTAGATCTTGGACTTGGCGGCGGTCCAAGAGGCGATAGCGTCCATCAGAGGGGGAGACAGGGCATCGTAGGACTCGAGGCCAAGGTCCTTGAACTGCTGTCGAACCTCGTTGGCCTTGTCGGCAGGGAAGCCCTGCTCAATGATAGAAGAGACAAAGGCAGCGAACTGAGGCTCTTGCCAGCCCTTGTCGTCAGAGAGCTCGACGTGGACAAAGTCGAGACCCTTGAAGGGGTGATCGTTCTCAATGCGACCGAACAGGTGGACACCGCAGTCACGGCAGGCGTTTCGCTGAATAGCAGCGCTCTTGTCAACAATGGTGAGCTTGTCACCGTTGGCAGTGACCTGGAGCTGGTCGCGGGGGATGACAGCGACGACGGAGAAGAGAGCACCATCGGGCTTCCAGCACTTGGAGCATCCACAGGCGTGGTTGTGAGCGACCTGGCCGCTGAGGGTGACCTCGACAGGGTTGGAGGAGCACTTGCAGCGGAGCTTGCCACCAGAGAAGTTGGGAGAACCTTTGGTGATGCCGTTCTTGAGGCTAGGGTGGAGGTTGTGAGACATCTTGGAGGCGGTTACTGAACGGTAGATGGAAGTGATTACTGCAGCAGCTGATACTAAGGCGGCGGCGACGGCGATGGGAGTTTTATTCTTGGAGATGATGTTGCGGTTAGAGGATGAAGCCATTGCGAAGGGGAAAAAAGAAGAGCTGGGGAGAATGGGATGGACAAAGACTTTATATACAACAAGATTTACGATAGACAGCCACAGGCGCCTGTGTTCAGTTATGTACTCTGATCCCCCGCAAAACGACATGTAACAGACGGTAATTTTGACTGCATGCAGCCATAATCGGCGGAAGCGTAAGCGTCGAGACCGAGATGCCGAGTTATCACCATTGTCCTTCACTGTGTGTCTAACAGTCTAACTGTCGCGATGGCGTTTTGCGGGGAATGAATGACTGGGCCTTGGGCCTTCAGGGACAATCGGGGCCTGGTCCAGGGTTAGGCCGACGGTCATCGGAAGCCGATTCCGTGGCCGTGCCCACTGATAGCTCGCTGATAAGATAGATAATTAATGCCTGAATCTGGAATGACAAGTGAGAGCTGAAGACAATAGATACTACTAAGATAATTGCTTTTAGAGCAGAGGCTTCTAGAAGTGTCTGATACTGTGTAGCCCAACATCGGCTCAACGTCCGCCCGCAATGCAACTTATATCGAGGGGTAAGCAAGACACAAAATGATAGGATAGGATAACCTTAGACGATCGACGACCCCTCTCAAACGTCGTAATCCCAATTCTGGGCGTTGTCACCCCCGTCTTCCTCTTCCTCTTACTCATCATCTGATCGGGGTAAATATATGCGGTCCCGGCAAATACTGATGATCCCCCCGGATCCCGTCCCGAGGGCGTCTCATCTAAGCTGACCGTCTAGCATAGCAGGCAATTGATACCTGGAGATAAGATGCCTTAAGACCCTCCCCTGAATTTTAAAATCATTTCCAGAATTGCGTGATGGGGGATGCTCGGAATTTTGGAGACCCCGTTGTCGGAAAAGTAGTGGTATGTAGAGTTCCGAGATGCGCCGTGGCGTGGCGACCGCGGTTAAGCTGCCAAGAGGAGGGGAAGGGCCAATGCCAAAGAAGGAGATATATACTTTTTAATATACCGTATTCGCAATATTTTGTAGGATGGCATCGTGTGGTTAGGTTAGTCTATGGAGGTGATGGTAGATGCCGATGTCAGGAGCCGATGCTGATATCGTAGTAGACAGGATGGCAAGGGACGGGCATTATTCGCAGTCTAGCAAATGAAACATGGTAGGATCAATGACACTCTCTATGAGGAATCAAAAATCAGCCAGGAAGAGCCCTAAGTATACGCGTTTCGAGGGATCATTTCGGAAACATGGAGAGTCCAAAAATACGTGATCGTCTGCAGCCTATCAAATGGCGACCCCCAAAAGTAACCCCGACCAACTCCTCATCACCAAACCTTGGCCCATCTACAGCGAAATAACAGCCACTACGAAATCTTGCTAGTAGAGCTGGACTTGAACCATGTCGTGTCCAGCGCGTAAATATGCCCTCCGCAAACCCCAAGGCCACAAGCTACCGATCCCACGATGGCACCTCGCCCTCCCAGATGATGTCACCCATGTCTGCACCGCGTACATTGGGGTTCAGATACATTCTGATGCTCAAGACGCTGATATCGCTCGAAATAAAGCTACGGAGACGCTCCAAGCATGGGTGAAAAGCGATACTGGGCCAGAGGCATACGAGACATTCGCGGTCATTGATGGATGTGATGTCCAAGAATCGACAATTTGGGTGTGTTATTGGTCAGACAGGGCCAAATATGAGAAAGGTCTCGATGGCCTCTCACTGAATTCCATCTACGCCCAACTACCAGAAACAGGCCGTGCCTCGGTGGGCATCTGGCGAGAGGCCTTCATCACAGAGTGTTCCCGCCTCGAAACCAATTACTCAGGCCTTGATTATCTCCCTGGTCTCGCAAAACTCCCTGGCGCAAGTTTTCCAGAGCATGAACTCTCGGCGTATTGGGGCGCAGCAAGAGACAGAATCCCCTCGTCTGCCTTTGATCTCTTCCCACCATCAAAGCCAAACCTGCCAGTCACAACCCCTGCGGGTGTTGGCCAATACCTCATCGGAACAAATGATGAGAACGTAGCTCATATCCGCTCGGGACAGTTTTGGGAGAACTGCGGTCAGCAGGAAGCAGACTCTTACAACAGAATGCTTGAACCCAGTCTCCACACTGGCCTGCGATATCTTTGGGATAATTCACCTGAAACAGGTGCTTTGGGACTACGATATCTCAGAAATCAAGACCCTTCACTTGAGGAACCTCGGCCTCGAAAAGAGTCATGCGGCGCTGGCTTCTTCACGAACCTCGAAGCCCTTGAAGCATGGGCAAAGAGTCACAGGTCTCATCTGGCTATATACCGCGGTGCACTAACTCACTACAGGGCCTTTGGGGACGAAAGGAAACTCCGAACGTGGCATGAAGTCTCTATTCTGAGAGCAGGAGATGCACGATTTGAGTATCTGAATTGTGTGCGTGAAACGGGCGTGATTCGAGGCGTTACTCTCAAGGCAGAGAGTATCCAGCAGGAAGTCTGTGTGTAGGATTCATAAGCAAGAATACTCAGATTTCTGGCCAGGGCATAGTGTTATATATGAATTCAACTCTGTATACCAGTAAGAAGAGTGGTGTAGTGGTATACGCCCTAAAACCTATAAACCTTCTCTAAATCCGAACCTAAAATCCTAAAAGTCTCACCCACTGCGCCACTCTTCGTTTTTGCAGGTCGCAAGTTCGAATTTACAGAAGCCATTCTTTTTGTTTGAGCTATCGTGGGCATCTCAGGCTTTTGTGTTGTCACGTCCTGGGACGTCAGTCTTGACCCATTTTTCGAACGTAGTAGGCTCCAACTGGGTCTTCAGCCATGTAAGATCCGCACCATAAGATCTCTCACCGATGAAACCAAACATGGTGTTCAGGTCCTTGACCATCCAGATTATGAAGCGGGTCAGAAGGCCATAAGTGACAGGGACGCCTTTGCCGGTATGTTTGATGAAGATGTCGTCAATGTCCTTGAAGCTCAGCTCCTCGCTAGCAATCGAAAGAGCTTGGTTTCGAATTCCGGTCTTATCAGGACGGACGAGGCCTTCTACAGCCCATCTTCCAATGTCTTTTTGTCACAGTGACTTGCATCTTCTTTCCGTTCATGTTCTCTCTCCAGCCCGTCATGCAAAGTTGGCCTGGGAACCCCCACCAAGCATTATCAGCGAACCAAGTCGGGCGAAGGATCGTGTAGCCCATGTTGGAGTTAGAACAGGCTCCAATGAGATGCTTCTCGATGAGGAATTTGTCGGAGAATGTCTTGCAATACGAAGGATCCTTATCGCTGAGTTCACGGCCGCCGCGATCAACAGAAGAGTACACAAAGTACGGAATACCATTTCTGACAGCAGAATCGATAAGCCCCTTTGCATCGCTGACTTCAGTCGGTCCATGGGCTTGAGCGAGAAAGATGCCTGTTCTGGGAAGGATGGCCTTGTCTACTTGTTGTAGAATCGCTTCGGGGTTGTTCAAGTCGCCAGCAACAATATTGATATCTCCGTACTTCTCACGGAGTTTGACGGCTCCTGACCCAGAAGCTTGGCGAGTCAGTGCATAGACTTGCTTTGGTTTTATTTTGATATCGGAGTAAGTGAGGAGGGCATCGACGGTTGCGCCACCTTGACGGCCTGTTGCGCCAGCGATGAGAAAGTATTCAATAGTGGCTATGATGATAACTTGAAGTGCTTATCTGTGTGTGTTTGTGGGGGACTGGAATTATTGATATTTTATCTTGATTCTTGTTTTATACTCTATCGAAGGCACTCATATCTTACATGGTATTCTTGGATATTCTAGATTTGAAGCAAGGCATCGGTAACGTTAACACCACACATTTCTTAGGCTGATTAAATTACTAATATGGGCTTATTCTGAGACCTGTCATAATCTGCATATATTTAAGCCCACGCGGCCGAAAAAGGTTCTCGCGCGCGGTAAGAATAAGCTCATGATGAGGCTCGATCGTAAAGTGGAGTTACCCGCGCGGGTTGAGCCATCAAGGTCCTTTAGTCTCAACAAATGACCTCAATCTTAACAATTCCCCCTAAAGAAACGGGCAGATCTTGATGATGGGAAAGTAACAGATCTTGGCTGCAACTTAATCGACTTTTCCCACGATCAACGGGCACGAAGTGGACGAGGAACTACACCAATCGTCTTACACGGTGCACGAGATCTAACGCGCGTTAGAGATAGTGCGGGAACTTGGATGTGACATGGTTGATTTCTAAGCACAGCGCGCAGCAGCCACAGCAAATGGGGGGCGTGATACAGTCTATTATGTTACTTGCTGCCGATTGCAACATGATTGGGGCGAGAGGCGGCGGTATCAATAGCTCAGCCAGATACAAAAGTCTGTCAAAGAGGTGTGTCTGTAGTTCCATCACAGCAGCCACATTCCGTCTGTCCAGTCCACATCACTCCGCTCCAAACTCCATCGACTCCATTAGAAATTCATCTCTGTGGTGAGTTCCTTCGCCGTCTCCTCCAGAAGTGACTCAAGAGCACCTTCAACGGTCGTACGCTCAACGCTCTTCAACAAGACACTCCCATGCCCGCAGGTGTGGGGAGTGGCCACGCCGGCAACATACAGCTCGCCACGCTTGCAAACGAAAAGCTTCGTTACCGGCATGCTTGCGTACAGGGCGGCGACGTTCACTGGCAGGTCAGCTACGCATGAACTTGCTGGTCATGAGGCTGGAAGTGGACTTACTCTGGATGAGCTCCTTCAAGCGTACAGCTCGCTCGACTTGGCCGGTACCTGCCATTTTGGATTCCGGAAAGGGAAGAGTGTTGTATCAGGAGGGAGACGTGATATGACTTGATGTGTAGGAATGGTCAAGGACTTGGGGATAATCTGACAACGCTGGTGAATATTAGAGAAAGTTGACTTTGGAGAAGCTATCTCGGAAGGAAATTTTACAGCTTTATATATGTTTCTCGGATCTGATTGTCCTCCCGGCCTGGTCCTGCTGGCTGTTTGCCAGTGGCATTCTTTGAGCTTCCATCTACGGGTAGCCTAGCCAATTATCTCCTCTACACTATGGGACACTTCTCTTTGCTACACCCAAGCGTTTGTCCATAAAATCACGGGCAAACGAAAGTCTTTGTTGGTTGTATAATGGAAATTGCTTCCTCTATGGCCTGCTCTCGGTAACCTGCATGCATAACCGGCAACGTTGTATGCAACATCCCAGATTACTCACCAGTAACCTGAAGAGAATGAAGTGTGTCTTGTTTACCTTTGGCGTTTCATGACTGATTGGCTACAAGTCAAGCAAACACTTTGGTTTACTACGAAAACATTGTCCTCTCAAATACAGGAAACCGTTTGTCCCGTTTCCGCTTAAGCTGACAATCTTCGAAATCACGCATTCAACCTAAATGTACTGAAAGTAAAGAGAGGCAGGGTGCCACAACGTGAACATATTAATTATTGGAACTACAGGTTTGAGTTGAGAAGTGGTTGTATTTAGATACTATCTCATGCCCAGCGATGCTCAACGTACTACATCCAGTCACTCGATATTCTCCCCTGGGAATGTAGCAACCAATCTAACCCATCACGTTCAATAATCATTTGAAGACTACAGAAGAAATACAAGGTCAGCTCGTTCTCTTTGGCCTGTGTTTCCGTAATTATGCAGTACATACCATTTCGTTCTTTGATACACCATTCTGAAAATTGCACTTCCTCACTGAGCTCCGCCATCGTCTGATCCAGGATATCCTCGAGCGCGCTTTCGATTGTGAATCTTTTGCCGCTGCTTCGCAGAAAGACCTTAGCTTCCTTAGTGCTCGAAAACCTAGCAACGCCAGCTCCATAAAGGAACAGACCTGACTGCTCCTCAACACGCTTAACCAGGAACAGCCTGACTTTGTTGGGGGCATAGAGAGCCTTGATGTTCACTGTTCTGTCAGTGGCTGTGTGGTGCTCTTGTTCTTTTGTTGGGGCATACTCTCGATCAATTCTTTCAGTTCGCCGACTGCCAGTTCACTCGGTTCGCCTTCGGATGATTCGGATGATGACATGTTGAGTTTTGGTTGAGATGGAGTTGTGAGGTTATCAAAATAACTATGGCGGCTTTTGGTTGAGATTCAAGATGGCGTTGAGGGTCGATCTGAGTTGAAAATACTGCCATTTTATATAGTTCTTCAACAAGACTACGTAATGCGAGATCAAACTACTTTGCAGCAAGTTTTATCTTATTTACCGACAAATTGCTAACTGTTGTTTACTATGTCTTCGCTTGTTTCGCTACCTGACAACAAAACATACTTACTTACTACTGTTTGCAATACAATTGGATATATGAAACATGCATGAAAAACTTTGCGTCACCTTCCTGAGGCCTGTGGTGAATACTTGAATATTACATTACCTGGTGGATATTAATAGCATTTCAGTGGTGTTTGGTGTCTAGCAGTCCTTAACAGAAATGTGGCTAGATATCTGCAGGATCCGTTAGTTTCTATTAGTGAGCAGCAGTGGGGCCACCTCCGACATTTCGGCGGAGCAAGATCTGACGATGACTTACAAAGCCTCAACATGACATGCTTCGCGGTGGATTAAAAATTTGTAATGATACCACGGAGGAGTCTTTTCTAGTTCTCCTTCAAGATGAATATATATAGTAATAGGACTCGACTGAACTTTTAATCATCGCCCTCTCATCTCACTTCAATCACAACAATCAATACAATTTCTCTATTATCCATCATGAACGTTACAATTGTCGGCGCAAATGGCGAGGCCGGTTTGTCCATCATCGATACTCTCTCCTCGTCTCCAAATGAGTTTGTATGTTGCAAACCTCAAGCCTCACGACTTCTTATACTCATCTTTACAGAAATTGTCCGCAATTGTGCGACCTGCTTCCATCAACAAACCCGAGATCCAACAGATCAAGAACAAGGGCGTTTCCGTGATCCCTATCAACCTCGAAAACAACCACGAGGAACTCGTCAAGGCCCTCACCGGCCAAGATGTAGTCATCAGCTGCCTTGTGCCTTTCACTACTGGTCCTGAAATTGCTTTGGCAAATGCTTCCAAGGAGGCTGGGATCAAACGATTTCTCCCCAGTGCTTTTGGCCCACCTTGCCCTCCTGAGGGCGTTATGCTTCTGAGGGAGTTTGTAAGTGGCAAAGCAAGCTTATAGTCAATGTTGCTAACGAGTCTGTAGAAAGAGGCCATCATCAATCACGTCAAGAAAATCTATCTTCCCTACACGGTCGTTGACGTTGGCATGTGGTATCAGGTCTCTCTCCCATCTCTTCCTTCTGGAAAGATTGACTATGCTCTCAAATTTCCGGCCGCCGTCGTCGCTGAAGATGGCTCACACGCCACAAGCTTGACAGACCTGAGAGACATTGGAAAATATGTTGCCAAGATCATTACTGATGAGCGAACCCTGAACAAATACGTCTTCGCTTACAACGAAGTCTGGACTCAGGAGGAAATTCACACTCACTTGGAAAAGGTCAGCGGTGAGAAGATTCCACGCAACTTGGTAAGTCTATCTCTCCTAGGCAGAAATGAAATGCGATGTTAACAAGAGTAGATGCCCGCCAAGGACATTGAGGCCACCATCGCAGACGCTCAGGTCAAGTACGATGCGAGTGACAAGAGTCTTCCCTTCATCTTTGGACTCGCTGCTCCTCAGTATCTCTACTGCGAGTGGTTCCGTCAGGACAATCTTCCCGGGCCCGCCGAGTATCTGGGCTATCTCAGCTCCAAGGACCTTTATCCTGAGTTTGAGCCGATTAAGTACGTGGACTATGTGGATGAAGTCATGCAGGGCAAGGGCAAGTCCATCTACGCGGGCCGTTGAGTCACGAGTGTGTAGAAAAGGTTGGAAGTGATCACATCAGGCACCAGTAGAGAAAAGGTTTGATTCTAGTGTATTTATCTAGAGTTTCGTTCCTATAAATATTTCTTTCTCCTAGTCTAGAGCTGCAGTGCACTCAATCTCAACATCAGTTCCCAACGGCAGCTGAAAGACCGCTACACAAGTTCTGGCCTGGGCGACGTCAGTGGTTGAGCTGAATCATGCTTGGAGCTTGACATACCGGCTTTGGCTCCCAAGTGAAGAACTCATCGTATGCCTCATTCACAAGAGCAAAGTTTTGCATATTCGTGATGTAGATGTTCATCTTGACGATATTTCTCAAGCTACTGCCGGACTCTTTAACGATAGCTTCCAGGTTTTGGATAGCTTGTCGCTGTAGTCGTATGGTCAGCCATCACACGTTGCACGGTCTAGCCGTCTCAAAGACCTACCGCTCTGTCTTTAACAGTTCCCTCTACCAGCTCAAAATTTGTCCCAGGAATGGCTCCGACGTTTCCGGAGCAGTACACCACGCCATTGTGCTTGACGGCCTGTGAGAACTGCGGCAGTGGAGCTGGGGCAGATTTGGTAGAAACAGCTTCAATCTGAGGTGCCATTACTGTTTTTGTGATTCAAATAAAATCTTCGTTTGGTTGCTTGGTGAGATTCTGGTTTTTCTGTGTATTAGAAATCAAATGTCTGAATGCGGGGAGACTATTATCTCACGACGTCGACCGCGCCCTACGGAGTACATACAGCTCATGATATCGGCCGGAGCTCAGATCTGCCCCCGACATAAAGAAAGCGCGTGGAATCCTTGGACTTTACCTTTTCTACGCTCGTTACTCAGATCGTACTGAAAAACAATTGTAGGATTATGCATAGAGATCCACAGACTCTACTTGACTTTCAATATCTAGCAAATTGGTCAAAGTACGCTCCTCTCTTCTCACGTATGACTAGATCATGCACACACTTTTTGTTGCTCAAATCTCTTATTGGATCTTCAACTGCTTCTCTATCTGGATCGTTTTGGGGGGTGCTATCCTAGCTATTGCATTCTTAATAACAGTCGACCAGATTTCAGTCTGTGGCTGCCGCCGGGATTGTCTCGGTGTTCAAACACCACGAGGCCTTGAGATGTATCAAATTGGGGTACTGTGTGTGTTGGGTTCCAGGGGGTTCTTTTCTTCCTTTCTTTGGTGATGGGGCTGGGTGGTTGCGCGTGTTCTTTTTGTCCTTGTGTTTCTTTTTCCTCTTCTTATCTCAAGATTCAGACGCCGCTCGAGTTGTCAAGTCATTAAAGACGTCATACTCAAGCGACAGCCAGGCCATATCTCTAGCCTGCTTCTTGTGGGTATCACTACCGTCCTCGAGCTCCCCTTTGTTAAAAGCGTCGTTTATATACAACAAAGCCATTCTCTCCCATCGACGTTCGGATCCCGTCGCACAACCAGGGTTGTGGCACCACAGTACGTGTTTCATCTCTTCGTTGAAAAGGGGGTTTCGTTTGAGTCGGGGGTCGCACTCCTCATCACGGTTGTATGTAAGATTGAAGAGCCACGAGGGTTCAAGGAAGGTTTTTACCCAAAACTCTCTGTCAATCCTGAGATCTACCATTGTTTGTACGCGTTTCTTTGGTTTAGCAATAGTTCCACGTACCGATCCAGGGATGCCTAGAAGTCGCCAGTCTTGCTGCAGGCCCAGGTGATAATCGGCTTTGCAAATCTTGCAGGTCGTGCTGGGTGTCGGCTTCCAAAGCCCACATTCGATGAACCTCTCCTCTGATCGTGGGAAGCAGGAGCACTTGGATGGGCCGGGAGCAATACACTCATCCAGGATCTCGCTGGAGAAATGTTTGCATAGAGCTTTTGTGTCAAATTCGGCATAGGAACCATTTTTGAACTGCTGAATGGCTTCTTTCGTATGTTTGTCCGAGCATCCATCAAGGACCACAAGGTGGAGGGTTGAACTGAATGTAAAGCCCAAGTCGTACTTCATGGGGCCATCTTTCCATGCTCTTGTACTCGAGAGACAGACGTGGGGAGTCTCGATTTTCTCGTAAAGGTAAGGGGATAGTTTGTGGCTCAAGTCGTCGCACTCGATAGTTTCATTCTGTCCACCGATATTGGCCAGAGTCACCATGTCCAGTCCTGCAAGAGACACATGCGAGCAGAGGGGGAAATTTCCCATTCGACCCAAGCACTGCGTATATCGTTTCCCTTTCTCTTCGGGAGAAAAGAACAGCGCAGGATGACTGGCTTTACATCCGTGGCAGTACTGCAGCTCGTAGAGCTTTTGCATCGCTTCTTGTAACTTGCCCGAATCGCGGTGGTTGTTACATTCTCGACAGAGAGTTTTGCGAGCAAAGATGTCCCGAATGAGCTTTCGTTGTTGGTAGCCATCCTCGCTGATACAATAGCTCTCTGGCCCGTCTCGAAACTCTAGGTTGAACGTCTTGAATATATCTCGCTTTGACAGCTGACGGAACTTTTGGCAGGTCTGCTGGAGGATATATAGGCTGCTATGTGGAAGAAGCAGCATGATCTCGATTATCAATTCTGGGGAGAGCTTTTGTAGGATTCCTTGGGCCTGATGTTGCTGCTGGTGGTCGAGCCTCGTATCATTGTTGGTCATCTGCAGGCAATTAGTGTGGGGAAAATACAGTGGCTGATAGCGCACTTTACCTCTTTTTCCTTTCCTTTGCCGGGGATGTTGGTTTGATGGTGTTGGGTCATCATGTTGCTCACGGGTTCGCTTTCATCATCATGAGCCGCAATCTCCTGATCGCCAGGGTCGAGAATAGTTTCTTGGGCATCAAAATAAATCTCGGATCCGGAAGAGCTATCAGACTCTTGATCAGATAGCCACGCGCTAGAGGCATAATCACTGCTGGCGGGTGAGGTTTGTTCTTGAAGCTGAATGACTGTCTTTTTGCTGACACCTTGCTCCTTGGAGTCCTCACGACCACCATGTTGGACATGTTGGTAAACCACAGGAGTTGTTGTAGCAGGCTCATCTTTGACGCGATCTACCTTTCTGGGTGGACTTTTGATGGACCGGAAGATCTTTTTGACCTTGGGTTGCGGCGGGAACTTCTTCTTGGAAGAAGGCATCGTGGGTGAGCGGTGGTCGATGATCCCCCTCAACAGTCAAAAGAAGGATGCAAGAGGTAGAATCACTCTGTGGGTACAGAGACTGACAAAACATTTTATCTTAGGTGTGTATTAAACTCACTCCTCTCTTTGTGGTTTAGGCAGAAGGTGCCTTATGATTCATGAAACTCTGTTCAAGGCTTCCTGCAGTGTCAATCAGTGTCGGCCACTGTCAGGTCCAGCGATCTCTGCCATAACACTCAGAGGCAAACAGGACCTTGCTTTGGAGCCTATCAGCTCAAAATCACGTAGATAATGGTGCATATATGCATGTCACCATGGCTGTAGCTCTACCTAGTAACCATATCCTTTTAAAAGCTGCGTAATTTCCAATGCTGCTATCAGGTTTAAACAATAGCTTGTATGCTCCGTTTCTTCACTCTGCCTTAAATGTGATTGGAGCAAACGATATAGCTGCTACCTAGGCTGTGGATGCCTATACTTTGAGTTTGATAGAGTTCACATATCTATGCAGTCCCATGGTTGGAATGAGTTTGTGTGGAGGCAAACATGACCTGACTACGACTGAATGAGTGAACATTTAATTGCAAGCCACGGGATAATTCTGAGCTGCCTCAAGATAGAAATCATTGTGAGTAATACTGCAATCATTAGCAGCTCAGAGATGACGAGACTACCCTACAAGAATGTAGGTGTTACGAGAACGACAAAAGCATAAATGCATCACAGCCTTCCTGTGAAGAGCTAGAGCAATGTAACTTTACGCTGGTCACGATGATCATTCCGATGGACTTCTTAGAAGGCGGGTAGCGTCTTCTAGCCGTTTAAGCATGCTTTGAGACGAAACCTCCTTCAAGGGCGGCTGCGGCTAGATAGCCGCATTCCTTTGCATCGAAACGGTTGGTAGCTCACGAAGCAGTTCAAAGTGTATTAATGTGAGAGACATTATGTGCATTATGTCGACAATGGGATTTGTGCATTCGCATCCAATATTCATATTTCATTAAATATCAAGATGAAAATAAGCAATGAATCATCTCACAGTCTCGGACAGCCCGTGCAAAGTGCTCGGATTAGCAGGACACGGCCTAGACAGGACCAAACAATAGTCTCTACCTTTGGCGGCACCACCCGCTTTGCTATTGACTGGACAACCCAATAGACCAGAAGTTGAGTGAGACAGGTGATTTGAGGCTGAGACAAGTGGCAAACTACCTAGACATAGGAGTCCATGACCTACCTCCCTGCCTCCTCACCCGTTGTTTCAGCCAAATATTAGTACTATCTCATCTCTTAGACAGGTCTCAGCCACTTTCTGTGAAATGTCGCTATGAAACCCGCCATGAAACGTTGGATCTTTGGAAAGACGGTATTATTGCTGTGACGGAGAGGCTGACAAGCCAAGATAAGGGTGGCTTGATGGCAATTTCGCGTGTGGGGGATATTTTTGGGGACTTTGGCATGAGTCAAGCGATGTTGACTTTTTGGCTGACGTCTTCGATGGAGTATCCGTACCTAAACTGGAGCTGATTGCAAGCGAGCGAGGGGATTTACAACCAGGATGATCTGATCCTACTCTGTACAATTCCCTCCTTGAAATTGTTTGTGATAAGGAATGTAGGGGTGCAGATCCCATGGCAGCCTTGCAGAGAGTGAGGGTGAGAGTCTCGGTTCAGCTTTAATTAGATCGGGATGTGTTTAGATTTCCTCGGCTTCCGCGACAAGCCACAGCGCGATCTCTTTTAATTAAAGCTGACATACGGAGGTAGGAGATTAAGTGTCTAAGACAAGCGTACAATGCCTTTGATCCAGAGACATACCATCGACGCAAGGGGAAACGGAACCGCCGCCGTAGCCGTGCCGTACGAAAACTGTCAAGGCCAGGCAAGCATTGCGCGCAATTTCCTCTTACGAACGGCACAACCAACAACGGATGAACTGATTTTGCTGACACTAGGGTCATGATTTGCTCTGGTAAAATGCAAAATGCAGCCCGCAGAATGCAAGGGGCAGGGGGTTCGAGTTGTCACTAGACAGGGGGTAATCTATTTTGATGTCTTGATTGGTTGAAGCCTAAAAAACTTGATGAGATAAGACTTTTTCCGCTCTGAAGAGTGAAGACTACCTTATCCAAAAACCAAGGAACAGCAAAAAGGGACAAATCAACTCACGCTAAAAGATGACGACCTCTTGTGATTGGGGCACTTGGGCCAGAGTGTGATAGAGGCTGCAGGGCGCCGCATTAGCCTGATGCTGACTGCAGGGGCCGTTGTTGGTGATTGGAGATGAAAAACGTGAGAGAATAAAACCGGCTTTTTTTTAAGAGGAGGAGGAGGGAAAAAAGAGGAGATTTGAGTGACTAAAAAGTGAGCAAACAAAGTTCCCCGGACTACGGAGCTAGGAGCTGTGTGGGTACTAGCGCAGGTACCCAGCTCACCCAAGAGTGCTAACAAGCACGGCTAACTCGGCCCCTCTCAATCGGATCATCCACTGAACAGACAACAAAAACAGCCCGTTGATAGCTGTGCTGTGCTGTGCTGTGCTGTTGCATCTGCCACCGTTGCAACCGATGAGTATAGAGTTTGCCCTACCGATAGATAGAGTCACTCGCTGCAACTGTGACAACTGTCCATCACAACAAAGAGACCCTGCATTGCAACAGCACACTCAATCTCACAGCCAGTCCAATCACTTCTGCCTACCCCGGACATTTCCTTATCATGAGGTTTCTCACAAGATCCGAATCTGTCATAAAATCCCTCCCCTTACCTCGTATTCCAAGACAAGGGCCCCTGTACCCTGTCTGCACCAGTGCACCTCCTCAGCCCAACGAGTCTGGCTAGTGCAAGGTACAGTATGAGTAAGAAGTGAGATGGCTTCAATGATATCATGATTGGACGAGCTACGTCTTGGAGCGGTAAAAAGAGGGTAGGGAGGTAAAAAAAAAAAAAAAAAAAAAAAAAAAAAAAAAACCTCGTCTAGCGTGAGGCCGGCGTGAGGCCGTGAGCGTGGGCCCATGACCATCTCGATGTGTGCATACAAGGTTAAATGGGCTTTCAGAATGTGGTTAGGCTACATAGGCTACTTAGACTAGACTAGACTAGACTAAACTAGACGCCTTTTGAGTTTGTGTGTGTGTCTGTGTCTCTCTCTGGGACCTGGGTTTCCGTATCTATCAGCCCAGTTTGGTCGGTTCAGCTCAGGTTTTGTCTTGGTGTTGAGGTCCAAAGATAAATAAATACCCTCACTCTCTTCCATCTTTTCCCTCACTTCTTTCTCCCTCCTCCCAACAACTACACTCGCTTCAGTCGTTACACTCTCGCTCAAAGCTTAATCTCAATCTTGCTTTTCTGCACTTCACTCGTTTTTACAAGTCAGAACTTAGTCCACAAACCTCCCCAAATCCTTCAAAATGGTTGCTATCAAGATTGCTGCTGCTGGCCTCCTCGTCGGAGCTGCCACTGCTTCTCCCTACTACGCCCCTCCCTCCAACGGCACTCACTACACCACCGAGGTTGTCACCGCCATCACAACCTACTGCCCTGGTGCTACCACTCTCACCTACGGTGACAAGACCTACACCGTCACCTCTGAGACCACCTTGACCATCACCGACTGCCCTTGCACTCTCAGCTACCCCGTCAAGCCCACCAAGCCCGTGGTCCCTCACCCCGTCTACACCACTGAGGTCATCACCGCCGTGACTACCTACTGCCCCGAGCCCACCACTCTGACCTACGGCAACAAGACCGTCACTGTCACCGCTCCCGGCACCGTCACTGTCACCGACTGCCACTTCACCACCACCCACCCTGCTTCTGAGCACCCTTACCCTCAGCCCACTCCCGGCAAGCCTGGTAAGCCCGGTTACACTGCTCCCGCTGTCCCCGGCAAGCCTACCACCGCTGCCCCCGTCCCCGTCCCTACTGGCACTGCTACCTACCCCGTCCCTCAGGGTACCAACCCTGCCGTCGTCACCGCTGCTGCCGGCCGCATCGCCCCCGCTGGCGTTCTCGCTGTCCTCGGTGCCATTGCTCTCTTCTAAGCAACTCAGAACCTCTGCTCTACATGTCATGGATACAACTTATCTCGTAATGAGTTTGGACGACAAGGGAAAAGCATTGGTCTTTAATGATTAATTTCACACATGATGAACTAAGGATGGAAGCGTTGGGTATATAATTCATTTCTACAACTTGCACATAGATCTCTTGATAGAGGTGCATAGACCTTAATATTATACAGTTCATCTGAGCTACACACTTTGCCTTGCATTATTCCATCGTGATTACCATCCTTCATCGTACAATGTCGCTGAGCGAATGTCGTGGGCATCGGCTCGAACCACAACCAGAGAGGAAGACCTGGCCTACTGTTTACTGGGTCTATTCGATGTCAACATGCCCCTTCTCTACGGCGAAGGAGCCAAGTCGTTTATCCGACTTCAGGACCAGATTCTCCGACAAGAAGAGGACTATAGCATGTTTGCATGGACTCTCCAGCAAGATAACCCAATTGCCGAGTCCGAAACCTCTTCTACTGGGTTTCTGGCCTGGTCGCCCTCGCAGTTCTCCAAGAATTCTATACAGGCTCAAGCTCCAAGGCACACGCAGGACCAAAAGATGGTCGATCATGGCCATGCATTTCCTCCTCCCTCTGAACCTGAGCTTGATCTGGAAAAACAGAGCATCGAATATCGAGTCCTGCACGACAAGGACTACGGCCGCATGTTTCGCGGCCAACGTAGCATCGTTGCAATGCAGTCCGTCCTCTCGGATCCTCTCGAGTTCACCAGTCGCGGTTTACGTATCAATCTGCATGTTCTGTTCCCTACAGATCTTGACCTGGCCCGCATTGCATGGCTATCCTATGAGACAGAGGACAGTCTTGTATGCGTCCTGATAGAACGTGACTATGAGTCGGCACGACGACGGGTTTATTGCAGAGTTAAATCGTCTTCGCTTATCGGTGTGCCCAAGACACTGCTCCCGTACTTTAGACCCATGGAATTATATATTCGACCGAGTGGCTATTTCACAGATTCAAATAAATTCGGTATGAATCCGCCATCGTCAATGTTTTCGTCAAAGCAACTGCAGATCTTAGCACAGGTCTCATCGACAACTACACGCTCCCTCGATATTGTCTTGACTTACCCAAGTGACGACTGGATGAAAGGGCAAACTCCAATGCATGAGTCCCCATTCAAGGCTCTCTGGATTGCTTGCACACAGGACTCTCAATCTTCACTATTTCGGATCGACATCATGATATCAACTGACGATGCTTCATGTACTATCCGAGAGCTTTCGCAGTCTGGCAGCGACATCGATGAGCCTCGTAAGGGCGCTCTCTTCCGGGCTTGTGCGCAGTATAAGAAATCTTTTGTTGCACATACAGACCGTGCTGTAAAACGATCGGTTAGGGTCCCAGAGACTGTGTTTTCAGCCGTTCTCCGGAAAATGCCAACTCCCCATGAGGATCTTGTGTCTTATGAACTTCAAGTTAATGCTTGGGATGTGGGTGGCTGCCCCAGTTGGGTTCAATTGAGCTTGTTGCAAGAACATAAAGAGGCCGACGAGGTAAAGACTCCGTGATACATGTTATGGCGGGTTCAAAGGTGAATTGGTTTGGCCAGGGGGTCACCATAGGCTATGCTTTGAACTGCCCATACAATACAGTATTCATGTGCATCAGCATAAACCTTTCCCAGACCCTTGGCGTACGGATCGTGGCGGCAAAGCTCGAGGGAGTTGTCTTATGACTCAAATCTGAGGGCTGTGAAGAGGAGGACACAGGGATATTGCTATCATCCTTGGCAAGAACATTTATCCCTTGCCATGTCATTCCTTCAATTGACAAACGAACAACACAAATTCTAAATTCTTGACTCATCATCTACTGTCCAGCAAGAAAATTAAGAATAAAATTGTAAATGCTGGACCGCCTAGAACTTCGACAGGATCAGGAAAAGGCCATACGCGGTGATGGAGTTCCGAGGCTCCTGGAAGACCGTGATAGTCGTGCAGCTCTTATCCGGGGCATTCGTCTACACTACCACCTGGCCATGAGTGAACCCGTCAGACGCCTCCGCTCTTCAATGCCTCAGGTCGCTCGAGCCCGCAACGCTCGCCGCATCATGAGCAACGACATACCGCAACGGATGACGGCGGAGGAGCAGCCACACTGTAAATGGCATCCCGACATGGCCACCGAGGACACCTACCGCTCACTAGCCTCCAAATTCCCCGACATGCGCTATCAGGTCGGCCGTGCCTGTACTGCAGCAGGTTATCATGTCCTTTATCAGGAGCTTGATCTCCTGCCTGAAGTGTCCATCGCCGAAGAGGCGCGAGAAAGCGAGACAAATGGTGGGAAACTCATCTATGACGAGATTATGAGTTTCAAACATGGCTATTCCATCATGGACGACTGCAAGCGCACTATTGAATTGATGGAATATGAATGCCCGGCGTATCTGAACGGCAACACCGAAGTGCGATGGCGCTTGGCAGCTCGACAAGGCATTACACGCTTGTCCAACGACGACCTCCTCCCATGCATCGAAGAAGACATGCATCTTGGACTCGAGGACCAGGAATTAGATGAAAAGTATGGCAAACTGACCGATGACGAGGTCAAGTTGCTCTATAGTCCTTTGCCTCGGGATCTGCCGACTGTGAAGAAGACTTTGTTGACACAGATGGCCGCCCACGACGGCAACATCGAACGCTATGCCCAGCTCGCCAATTCTGGAAGAACCTTGACGCAATTAGACCAGGACTGTGTCATCCGTGGTGTCTTGAATCACACTATGTATGCTCGCTGGTGGGCGGACCAGATCAAGAACGACACCGTCTATGCTAGATCTGTCCCATACGTGTGGGATATTCAGCAAGCCATAATGGCCCGCCGCATCATGCTCAACGGCCCTTCCGCGTTTGAAGACGGCTGGCCACCCGGAGTCCCGATGCCCTACATTATCTGGTGGCCCCTGCAACCGCAGCCTGATATGCTTAGTCTTCTCGCCATAAAGGTGCCTGAGATGAAGAGGCAGTGCGCGGCGGCAGCGATTGTCTACGACTACGAGAATGTTTATAAGAGCCTTGACCCAGATCCGAGCTGGCACCTAGCATGTATGGCTCCGTGGAAGTACTTAGTACGAGCGCCGTCCAGCTCAGAATCTGGAAAGGCATTGGAAAGGTATCGCCAGTATCTTGACGCCTCGGCAGTTGAAGCAAGCATCCTCAACCCGAAATCTAGCCATTGATCACACTTGAGTATGCATTACATGGAACTTGTGCGTCTCACTAGATGCTCAGAGGATAGCTACGACAAGGCTTATCGTCAACACCCCGGTGGGAGGATCACGAAAACGGGACCGGCGATGGGGCTCCGGTTGCCGACTCTTTACATAGCAAGGCCATTTAACAACACCTTGGGGTCAACTGCCATAAGCCCAAGTTGTCCTGCCTTTACAAACTCTATACAATTGCATCTGCCTCCCTATGAACGCTCTTCAAAAGACAATAAAGCATATTATTCTGTTTTTGATTGGGAGACTTATCCTTTGTTGAGGCTGTGCGTATATTGCCTTCCAAAAGCTAAAGTTAATTGGAACTTTTCAGTGCAATGGCTTGTTATGTCTCGTTGAGAAGTCATAAGCTTTAGGCATCAATCATAGGGAGCATTAAACCGAGCTCAACGAGGCGTCTTCATACAGTATGTGTTAGCACATCAAAATACACTGTGGTTTTCCGCATGTATAAATTGCATCTGAATTTCCTCTTCTCTCCATCTCTAGCTTTGTCCGAATTCGGATGTAGTATCTGTGCTTGGCCTATGATGAACACTTGGCATTGAGAGAAAGTTCAGCTTCTACACTTGAACATGATGTATCCGTGAACTGAGGTCATAAAATATTTTGGTCTTTTGAGTTGGCAAGTGCCAATAAATCACTGGTTGTGTTATCATCAACCACATATCGAGACCAGCCAGCGTTTCCCAGCCGGACAGGAAAAACAACACATAATAATATAGGTACCTACATAGGGTCGAAGAGAATGACTAATGCAGTCGCCATGTTCGAGGATAATGGAGGCAACTAAACTGGCAAGTTTAATCTCCTCGCTATATCTCTGTTGGGCTCTGTTGGGTCTGTTGATATACTGTTCCGGAGGAAATCTGCTACTTCTTGAGATCTCTTAAATATATCACAAGCAAGCCTATGTTTTTGTGTTTTGTATTTTTTTTTCTTCCAAAGTGCCCGAGCTTCTCTCTATTTCAATGTAACTACTCAACCATAACTGGCCCATATCCAAGGCAGGCCAATACTCAATATGTTCAATTCTGTGAAAATGTCGCCATTTCCAACTGAGCTCTGACGGAAGATAAGCTCAAATGTGACCAAGCAGCTACAGGCAAGCCCATATACTATAGCAATTCTGAAGAGGCGGCGAAAAATAGTCACCCTCGAACAGAAGACAAAAACTAGACGAGATCCCGTATTTTCTACGAGCTATGGTCGTATGTGCTTGACAGACTCGCACGCGGTTCTCATCATCAGGCATCGTTATTGAGATCTCATCGACTGTGGTGTAAAAGGTGGACCCTATAGAACGAGGCCACCCGGAATTGCAGGCCTCATTACCGCTTGAGACATAAAATCGCTGCCCAAGACGCGAAAGTGCTGTGATGATAATGTTTGCAACATGGCGCTCTTTGCGATGGATGTCGGTCGAGTCAGACACCGGGAACTGGCCGGTACTGTATGGAAACAAAGTTAATCGTTGTCGGGAATCGGTAATAGACTCGTGGCCGTGCTCCCAACCAGTTTTAACAAAGGTTCATAGCGTAGTGCAGTCCAACATAATCCGTGCGACAATGAGACTTGATGTCTGTCAATCTGACGTCGACCACCAATACCCAAGACGGAACTTGCTTCTTGGGGTGAGCTGAGCTTGAATGACATCAAGGTTCCCCGACCGGCCCCGTACAGTTAGCTCCGGTCCGGGCGGGTTCTCGGTAGGGGGCCGGCTCATATCGGCCGTCGGTGATTGGCGCCAGCGGGGAAGCGATCAACATCGCAGGTGTCATTTGAGCGATGATCAAGTTAAGTCATGTGAATTGAGGAGAGTTACAAACAAAGAAACACCGTCCTACCATACCTCAACGCCACCATCCCTCAAGAACAAAACAGTCCAGCCGCAGAATTAGCGAGGAAAAAGAACGAAACAGTTTGGGTTCGTAGACCCCAAGAAGTGAAAATAGCCTCTTCCTTTTAGCCCGCGAATCCAGGCGTCCCCCCCAATCCAATTCCCAAGATCGATACCGAATGTGCCGGACGCTGAGGGGATGGATGCTTTGCCATATCTTATCTACTCCGCCAAAGCCAAAACTTAAAAGTGAGGCTGTCAAGCCGATTGACCAGGGACCCTGTCCCGAAATCATACTCCACCGAACAATGCCCATGCGTCGACAGGCCTAAAACAAGTGTCATGTCTTGCCTGACTGAGAGGCAAGGCAAGGAAGGTAAAGAAAAAAGCCGAGGGAATCGTAACGCCGTAAAAATAATGGTTGAATTACAACAGGCCTGTCGTTGAATCGGGAATCTCGTGAGAAGGAAAATGTCTATCATGGCCTGGTCTGTGTATACGATGTAATGTCAGGCGGTTTAGTGAGGCAGCAGGTTCTTGGACTCGTCGTCGGTCAAAATGATCTCGTGGACCGGGTCCCGGCGGTTCTCGAGGGGAACATAGTCGCAGTCGATATAAGATGGGAGAAAGATTTCTGCCAGTTATTAGTCGTGACTTGTGGAGAGGCTATTCATAATACAAGTGAAACATACCGGGATTCCAGGCGAAACCCTGGCTGGAGGAGAGGTAGGAGATCTATGGAGAGTCAGTACACCTGAAACCAAGTATAATATCGTCGAGACACTTACCAGTCGGGGAGTGCCTTCCGGATCGCCGACGTTAATGACGGTGCATTCTTGCTTGGAGAGCGAAGAGCCTACGGAGACAAGTCAGTAAACGACTGTCGGTGCATGATAAGACGGTCGTATCATTGTCGCTGCAATCGTCTGAGGCGGGGGATGATCCAGCTTCACTTACTCAGGAGGCTCGGACGGCGGTTGTGCAGGGCCTTGTCCTTTCCGGCTGACGGAGGAGAAGAAGAAGGAGTACCAAATGGGCTGTTTGTAGAAGAGCCGGTGCCCTTATGGAATGGACGAGTAGCCGAGGGGCCAGCGGGAATGGCGATAGAGGACGACATTGTATGTGCGATGTTGAGGTTGCTTAGAGTATCTAGACAGAGACAAACAAGCAACCCAATATGAAACGAGGGGTATTGTATGTGTTTGTGTGTGACGAGCGGTTGGCCGAGTCGAAAACGGCTACGGAGGGAGGGAGGATGACGGCGTTTGGGGAGGAGATGGCAGCAGTATCAGTAGAATGACGCAACAAAGACACGCCGAGCAGTAAAGTGATAGATTAGGGTGATAAAGAGACGTGAGGTTGGCTTGGGCGAGAAAAGGCGATCGAAAAGAGAGCAAAAAAGACAAAGAGGCCGAGTTGGTTGGAGGTTGAACAAGTCAGAAGGTAGAAGGTGGTTTCAAAGAGGTACAGTCAGTGAGTGAGTGAGGTGACTTGTCGATTACCTTACCTTGCTCCTCGGCCGCCGACCAGTGAATCACCGCCGCATCATCCCGTTAACAGGCGAGTGATCCGACGCTGATAAGCCACAATCCAACCGGGTACTTGAGTTTACATGAGACGATCCATAACGATACATGTACTGTACAAGCGAGCGAGAAGCTCCTCACTAACAATTACCAATAATAACACTCTATACTGTAAATACTGTATGAACAATTTCACGGTTCACCTAACTAACATCCTCTCACCGAACATCGCGGGGCAGGCTTATCGACAGGGTCATGAGCCTATTCTCACCGCAAAACCCGCCATCTTTTAACCTTGGACCGAATCAGTTCAACGCCACTAATAAGACATTCATTTCCCCATGCATGGCACCTTATACAGCCTCAGAAGGGTCATAGGAGTGCCAAAAGTACAGAGGCACTTCAACCGCTGTAGCTCTCATGTACCAGGCTAGAAACGTCCCCTTCAGGGTCCCCACGCCTGTGGTCTTGTGTGGAGGCAGATCCCCCCGAAAATCGGCCAATCTGATTCATTGAAGCTCGCACTGGGGTCGTTGGAGCCTTGGAGCCTTGCAGCTGCTGCACGCTTGCAACCCCCACTTCGCCCTGCCTGGGAGAGGGAATCATGCGCCAATCAAAGCTATCGAGTCTGGACCCCAACCGCTCACGGTCTTTGACGTAAATAGATCACGTGAGCGAAGCTCAATCCAGATGACTAAGGTTTCAAGCCGCGCTAGCTCACCTTAGCTTCCAGTGTCGTCGTCGTCGTTACTGGCGCCTGGCATCAACTCGAAACAGCTCCATCACTCCCTCAACCATCGAAACAACAACCAAGCGCTGTATCTCCCGACGACAATCGCTTTCCAGACTCGACGCGTATTTCTATCTGCACCGCATTCTCACGATCATTTCACCTATCTTACCCACACAGCAGAAGCGCAAAAATGGGTGACGTCGCTGTCGAAAACCCAGCAAACCAAGTGGCACCTCATAAGAGGGCCGCGCTCTCAGCCATTCCCACCATTGATAACTTCGAGGGTGTATCAACCGATGGAGGAGACGACTACGCGAACCTCAAGAAGCTCCAGAGGCAACTAGAGTACGATACTCCAGTCTCAGATATCGCAAAAGTGGCGGGGAACTGATAGCTTTGGAATAGGTACATCCAGCTGCAAGAAGAGTATATCAAGGATGAGCAGAGGTAATTTATCAATTCCGTCTGAATCCTAGTTATGGCTTGCTGACTACTTGCAGGAGTTTGAAGCGTGAGCTTGTGCGAGCTCAAGAAGAGATCAAGCGGATTCAGAGCGTGCCATTAGTTATAGGACAGTTTATGGAGGCTATTGACCAAAAGTATGTGCTCACCTGCAACCGGCAATCCTACACGAGCTAACCAGCCTCCCAAGTACTGGCATTGTGCAGTCTAGCACCGGATCCAACTATGTCGTCAGAATCCTCTCTACGCTCGACCGTGAGAAGCTCAAGGCTTCCTCCTCGGTTGCCCTCCATCGACACTCTAACGCACTTGTCGATATTCTGCCCCCGGAGGCCGACTCCTCTATTGCTATGCTTGGTGCCGACGAGAAGCCCGATGTGACATACGCCGATGTCGGTGGTCTGGACATGCAGAAGCAGGAGATTCGCGAAGCTGTCGAGCTACCCTTGACACACTTTGACCTCTACAAGCAGATCGGTATCGACCCTCCTCGAGGTGTTCTGCTCTACGGCCCTCCTGGTACCGGCAAGACTATGTTGGTCAAGGCCGTTGCCAACTCAACCACCGCCAACTTCATCCGTGTTGTCGGTTCCGAGTTCGTTCAGAAGTATCTCGGTGAGGGTCCCCGAATGGTCCGTGATGTTTTCCGCATGGCTCGCGAGAATTCTCCCGCTATTATCTTCATCGATGAAATCGACGCCATTGCCACCAAGCGATTCGACGCCCAGACCGGTGCCGATCGAGAAGTCCAGCGTATTCTCCTCGAACTTCTCAACCAGATGGATGGTTTCGATCAGACCGCTAACGTCAAGGTCATCATGGCCACCAACCGAGCCGATACTCTTGACCCTGCTCTTCTCCGACCTGGACGCCTCGACCGAAAGATCGAATTCCCCTCTCTGCGAGATCGCCGTGAACGACGTCTCATCTTCTCCACCATCGCCAACAAGATGAGTCTGGCTCCCGAAGTCGATCTCGACTCCCTTATTGTCCGAAACGACCCTCTGTCTGGTGCTGTCATCGCTGCGATAATGCAGGAGGCTGGTCTCCGTGCTGTCCGTAAGAACCGTTACAACATCATTCAGAGTGATCTCGAGGACGCCTACTCAAGCCAGGTCAAGGGTACCGGCGAAGAGAACAAGTTCGATTTCTACAAATAGATTCACGCGGTGTCTGTCTATCATCATTTCACGCAGTCTTGTGTGTCATCTATCCTGTATTACATACGTCAACAATCAGGCCAAGGGGATATGGAAGGAAAAGTCCATGTGAAGAGAGGCGGATTAGAGCGAAAGGTAGATTAGGATTAATCAGCGTGCCCATTGACGGCGCAAGCGATATGAATTTGTCTCTACAGTCCAGGTCCACACCGGTGAAGTGATTGATTTACGCGATGTATGCCTCGAGTTACATCTCAGGAATCGTACCATTCTGTATGTGTATGTATGTATGTATGTATGTATGTATGTATGTATGTCAGACTATCACATGTTTCTGAGCAAAATGCCCGGACACAGCATGATACTGCTGCAGCCAACAAAGTGGGATACGACTTCAGAGGTAACATTGGTGATACTCTGCTCGCATGCATCAATGTGGCCTTTTGAGAGTCACCGGCGATAAACAGTAAATGGTATGTGTAATCGAGATTGGGGGTCCTCCAGCTTCCAATAATTCAAGTCGGAGGCGAATTATTCATCCTCGAGGCCTGATAGCTGCGAGTTCAATATTAGTTGGGTATTCGAATTTTACAGACAACGACGCACAGTAACTAACACACAGCAACGGGGTATGTTCAAGTTCAAAGACATCGTAAGTTACCGTAGTTGTCATTCATAATGATTCCATGTCTATGTTCCGTACAAGTCTATCAATAAAACCGTGGCAACTCCTGGCTGTTCGTCTCGCTCTGCCAAGTGATAACTAACAGGTCAAAAGAATTGTAAAATACAGTTACTTCGCCACAAACTCCATGATTCCGTCCATCTTGTCGGTTTTGTTTCCCCCAACTCACTATCCGTCTATTTTGTTTCGCCCGCTTCCTTGGAGTTCCCGTCCTGACGAGTTCTCTGCGTACAAAAGTAGATAACAAACACGCTACAAAAGCCAAATGGGAATCAAATGCCCGTGCAAAATATGCCGAGTGACAACGCCCTAAAGCCCTTCCAAAGGCGATACATGTAAGATTACAGTTACACGAGGCTCTTTGGCAAGTCGGCCGCTGGGTATAACTGGCCGGTCGTGCGGAAAGGTGTAAGCAGCATTGCCAAGAATCCTCGAGCATTGTGAAAAGGAAACGTAGAAAATATCAGTAGGTCTTTAGTGATTGCAGTCGATCGAGATCGTTGCTTCATTGAGGTATTAACCATTAGCCATTACCATTACTCTCGGATAAGTATGCTTGTATGTAAAATCATACATCGCTTGTTGCTCCAAAAGGACAAAACAGCGCCGAGCCAACAGGGACGAATCGGATTTTGACCGGTTCAGTGTCATTGGGTTGGGCGTGGAGAGTAGCATTGGTAAGGCTGGGGTATATCTGCGGCGACCAGATCATCCCGGCGGGACAGCGTGGAACAAGTCATCCTGATCCTGCGGGATTTCCTTGGGTATGCCGAAGCAGAAAAACGTATAGAGCATGCCAATAGGCATAAAACAGCTCATTACGAGCTCAGGGTGACACCAACTTCAAAGAGAAGGTGAACGAAACGCCGGTGCAGCTCGATAAAGATATCAGGCTGTCCAACAATCTCCGCTAGACCACGGGCTTTTGGGGCTGAGGCACCAGGGCCACCACCCATCCGTCGGGTGAACCCGCTACCGCCTGTCAGAAAGCTGCTTCCATTGCGATCAGGGCCTCCGGAGGATTCGACGGTCGGTGGTGGTGGTGCATAGCCACCCCCGTAAATGCTGCTACCAATAGGAGAGTTCTCGGCCGCTCGCTCGGCCTCGGCTTCAGCCAGTTGCTGGATCCATGTAGCGAGCTCGCGAAAAGCGGTCGAGACCACGGCAAACGTCTTCATGGCCAGTCGCTCTCGGTGAGTACTAAGCGCCAAGAAAGCATACACTCGCTTATGACCCCGTGCGTGTACATCAGGGATACGGAAGATATAAGCCGTCGTGTAACCGGCGAGGGCGTCGCCGAAAAAGATGGGGCCGCCTGTGACAGCCGAGCCGGCGCTTTGTGTAGTAACAAAGGCCGGAGAAGAGGTCGCAACGGGTGAAGTGGGGTTTGCCGTTGATGGAGCCCGGGGCAACGTCTCGAAGGATAGAGTACGCAAGCAAGACGCTCGAATAAGAGAGAAAGAGTCGGGTAGGACCGGATCGTGGGTAGATGTATAGTCGACGTAGTGAACATGGAAGGGTGTCCGTTCTGCTGCGGTCGAATTGCCTGTACCGCCACTCTTGCTTGATCGCGAGGTATTGCGCGAGCTGACCGAGGGTGTTATTCTTTGCCGAGCCCGAGGGTCCTCGTCCCGCTCTCCATCGGTATCACTCGAGGTCTGGGAGTTGGGAGGCGATGCCTGACCTCCAGCGCCGAAAACCCGCTCTGCTGGCGCGCGAGTGCGCAACGTTGGTCCACGAGTGTTGTTTGCGAAATGAACACTATTTGATCCCGCTTGCTGTCGTGGCAGGGTCATTGCGCAGTTATCGCAAGGGCCTTGTTTCTTTGTCACGGTCTCATCATAGGTTCTTCGGAAACTCGAATCGCGTCGAGGATGAGGAGGGGCCGGTCGCGGACTTTCAGGAGGAGTATCGATAGCAGTAGGAGTTGCGCCAGAGTTGCTGGAGTTTCGCAATAGCGCTGCACGTTGCGCCTGAGCCTCCTGTTCGGAGGCTGGCATTGAAGCGCTCCGAGATAGGTCGAGGTTCTTTAATGCGTCATTGAGAGCAGTCGACGATGCATGCGCGCTGGATCGTGGTCTGTTATCGGCAGGATCTGCACCATCTTCAAAGCAGACAGTACATGAGGCCGGTAGACCCTCAGTGACCATCAAAGGGGTCGGGCCATGGAGGTCGCAGTAGTGAGCAAGACATAGCTGGAAAGACGGCATTAGTGATTGATTCTTGCGCATTGCGAGCAGATGGCCAGTTGGCGCGAGAGCAACAGTGGATCAAAGGGGGTAGGTAATGCACAAGCTGCAGGGAGAATTGTTCATAGTAACAAAGGATGGCTCTGGGGAAGTATATCATGTCAAAAAGCTCATGACGTTATGGGACAGGGATAGATCATGTATGGATAAATAGGCCTCGGAATAGGAGGGTTGCAAGGGGTAGTGATGGGAGACATGGTATTATAGGAACAAAGCAAGTGGTGATATATCTCGGTGTACGGAGACAGCTTGTTTTGGTCGCCCTGGCTCCTCTCGTACCGGCAACGGGCCGTTCTTGAGGTCATGGGGCTGAGGTAGGGAAGTGATGTGGCACCGGTGAGTTGGGATTCCAGTAGGAAGCATCATAATTGCCCCGGGACTACCAACGCTGAATCGAGGGCAGGGCAATCATAGTCAAGCGGTGAAGCGGTGTGGATGTAAGTGCAGGTCTGTGTGCGCCTGTGTATTGTTCGTGCCTAGTCAGGGTGTGCAGACAAGACAAGACAAGTGAAGAGACTTGGGCTGGGTGCGTGGGATGTGGGATGCGAGGCGATGGGGATAAAGAAAGGACAGGACAGACCAGGACAGGGTGTGTGTGAGGGTGAAAGTGCATGTCAGACAGCGGGCGGCTCGGGGGCCATTAGGAGGTACGGCAGACGGGCCGTCAACGGACTGGCAGCTAGGAAACGAGAGCGAGGGTGTGAAAAGGGAAGGGATGTGAGGATGAAGCCAAGGGGGATAAAGGCAAGGGAAGGTCAAAGGCGACGTCGAGAAGCAACGTCGATGAGAGCCAGGACATGGTTGCTGAGTATGGGTGGATGGACGAGAATAGGAATGGGATCATGACAAGGAATCATGATATATGACAGAAATGTGTGTGTGAGAGATCTTGGGTAAAGAAAGGTACCAGAAATGTCTGGACCCAACAGGGCGGGCGAGACTGCTAGACCTAGGGACGTGCAGAGGAGTCAAAGGCTCAAGGAGGAAAGCATTCATTCATGGCTGACAGGGATCTGCTGAGACAAGCTATCGACCATGTAAAGTGAATGCATGGCGTGTGATGCCTTCATTGACCAGGGCGTAGGTTGAACAGGAACGTGGAGGACGGAGGAAGCAGCTCAGAGCGTGGAGGGTGCGACGTCGGACGTGGCAGGAATTGGCATGTGGTTGTACAAGAGAGCCAAGTCAAGTAAAGACAAGCAAAGCAAAACGAGACAAGACATGTCAAGTCGAGACATGGAGATTTGGCCTTGGAGGAAGTTTGTGTTGTACACTTACAATATATGTCATGACGTATCGTCGTCTCGGAATCGAAACCACGACAGAGGGAAAAAGCGTAAGTATCAAAGTATTATCGACGATTGGATGGCGCTGCGAGAGGGATGGGGTCTCCCTTTTGGCAGCACGGGACTGCACAAAGGACGGCGGGGGAGAGCTGTGCTGTGCTGTGCTGTATTGTAAGCTTGATTTAAAGCTGAAGCTGGTTTTCGGGGCGTCGTGGTCGTAAATAAGTTTATAGAGGGAGCGAGTCGATAGGTATCCGTATCGAGGCGAGACCTGGAGGCGCGAGCAGGGGCCGGATCGACGAGGGCGTGCGTGGGTACGTAGGTAGGTACAAGTAATTAGGCGTGGGCGTGGTAGTACGAATGGCTCGTGCAGTGCTTGCAGTTGCAGTTGCAGACGGAGTGCAGTAGGGCTACAGGACAGGACAGTACAGGACAGGACCGCAGTAGCTGTTGTTGAAGATTCGATTCGGTTCAATTGGATTTTGGGTGGACCCAACAGGCCAGGGACTGCGTTTGTTCGGATGAATCGAATTGAATTGGAGGGAGGGAGGGATGTTTGCTTTCGGAGCTCTCTGCTTGGTTCGATGTCCGATTCGACCAGGGTGTACGGAGTACTGAGGTAGGTATGGATAAAAGGTGGCAGCACCCAAGATGTGCAATTGCTCCGGGCAAGACTGTCGGACAAAGAAATCGGTTTCGTTAAATAAACGTATCAGGTGAACCGAGAAGACAAGAATGGCCTTTGACTCGCTCGCAAAGTTACGCTGCGCGGGGAAATAT